TGGCATCGCTACTAGGAACAAGGACGCTACCAGGGGCTCCTGGCCTTGCTACAAGTAGCAAGAAGCTAGAAGCTACTAGGGGCTCCTAGCATCGCTACTAGGAACAAGGACGCTACCAGGGGCTCCTGGCCAGCAAGAAGCTATTAGTAACAAGAAGCTACTAGGGGCCCCTGGCATCGCTACTAGGAAAAAGGACCCTACCAGGGGCTCCTGGCCTTACTACTAGAAGCAAGAAGCTATTAGTAACAAGAAGCTACTAGGGGCTCCTGGCATCGCTACTAGGAACAAGGACGCTACCAGAGGCTCCTAACCCTACTACTAGTAGCAAGAAGCTATTAGTAACAAGAAGCTACTAGGGGCTCCTGGCATCGCTACTAGGAACAAGGACGCTACCAGGGGCTCCTGGCCTTACTACTAGTAGCAAGAAGCTATTAGTTCATGTTTTCTCTCGATTTCCGTCCAAGGCCAGATGGTCGAGACGGCGCTTCCAGCCTTGGTCCCCGTGCACAAGTCTACGGGCGACCTGCATCGCCGCAAAGGCGAGGGGTGAGACTTCGGGCCTTCGGTGTTTGGGTCCACTGGGTCCACCGCTTTTTTGGACCAAGGGCAAGTGCATCGCTACTAGTAACAAGGGCATTACTAGTAGCAAGAAGCTACTAGGGTGGCCATCGCTACTAGGTTGGAGGCCATAGCTATTAGGTTGGAGGCCATTACTAATCTTTTCACCCAAGATGAAGGTCTCCGACTTAGCTGCTGAGATGCCGTGACCGGCAGGTTGCATGCTGACTGAGAACCCGGCCGCAGGCCCTCGCTGAGGGCCAAGGGGGTCAAGGGTTTTTGTCCGAAAGAAGTCCAAAGAGACTTCAACAGGATTTGGAAGTTGGACCAAAGAACGTCTAACTGCATCGGACCAACTGCTTCGAAAGGCACAACTGCATCGGACACACTGTTTCACTGCTCTGTGAGTGTTGCGAGTCTTGAGATCAGCGAAGGACTTGCCTTAGCGATTCAAGGACTTGCCTTCGCTCTTGTTTGGCTTTCTGGCTTACATTTGGGTCCAAACCACATGAGTCCAGAGATTGGAACAGTCCAAAAATCTTAAAACAGAAAGACATCGAACACCAATTAGGCAGAGCTCCCCTTTTTTTTGACCCGGCGCGGCGGGCGGCGTTAGCTCCGCTGCATCCTCCCGAGCTCTGGCTCGCGAAGACGAGCCACTGCCTCGGTGAGCGTCTCCAACTCACTAGCGATGACCTCCAACCTAGTAGCTTCTTGTTACTAGTAGTAATGCCCTTGTTACTAGTAGCGATGCACTTGCTACTAGTAGCTTCTATGAGAGCAATTCATGGCCAGTGCATTCTTCTTTTTCCCCCAGCCCATCACCATGGCAGAACACCACCAGTCTTTGCGTACAGTATATATCGTGTGTGATCTTCCACTTGATCTTTTCCATTTGATCTTTTGTCGCCACGACGAAACCGTTGGGCCAACGAGGCAAACGAGATGCCCTTTGTGCGAGATCATTCGTGGGCCCCTCAGTCGCGTCTCCGCGAGCTCCGCGATGTTCTGCCGCGATGTTCTGCCGTGATGGCGGAGGACCCGGGAGCTCCTCCAGCAGGATGCTCACAAAACGCGGCGAGTTGGAGACCCAGATCTTCCATGTGTTGCCCTCACGAAAAGCACCATCAGGTGTTTTGCAGAGTTTTTTGGGACCACTGACTTAGATTCTTTGGATCGGTGATGCCTTTGGCATGCTTTGCAAGCAAGGATGCGGCCAGAGGAAGTGGACTTGAAGATGTTGACGAAGAGGCACATCTTCATGGAGGTGCCAGGGCTTTTGTATTTGATGCGCAAATTGAGACGCCAGGCCGTCGGCCGTCCGACCGGTTGGGGTCTTGGAACCACTTGCGCCAGCTGGTTCGCCAGGTGGTTTCATCCCAGTAGCAGGGCAGGTCACTTAGCGCTTAGTGCCGATCCATGACGGTCACTTGACACATCTTCAGAGCGCTCTTGAGTCGATTCTACACGTTTGAGGCAGCCAATGCCTCAGACACAGAGGAAATTGCCACCTTCAGATGTGGTGATGGTTTTTCCATACAAGGCCGCATCATGTGCTTCAATTGTCGCGAATTTTGAATGGTGCACTCTTGGGTAGAAGGGTTAGAAGGGTCTCCAAAGCGTCAAAGTTATGAAGCTTGGTGTCATGAAGCTTGTACGTTCTTTTTGGCTCGAGCACATGATTCTCCTGTGATTCTCATATTTGTGTTGAGGGATCAAGCTGTTGGTAAACAGAGAGGTTGTGGAGGTGGTCTTGACGTTGACAGCTGCACATGTGAGGAGGGCAGTGTTTCGGCATTGCGTGTTTCCACGGTCTCGGTTCTACAGCGCCAGCCATGGGCACTGTGCACCGAGATGGAGGGAGAGGCTCAAAAAAAGAAGTCTTAAAACTTAAACGGGAGAAGGATCAGACACTGAATGATCAGTGAAGTTTTCAACTTCAAAACAAGGAAGAGAAGATACTTCTTCTGCTTGCCTTAGGCTTTAACTTGTTTTCTAAATCATGTGTCCTTTCTGCCAGGCGGAAGCAGCGGCGGCAGTAGGACCACGCTCCGCTGTGGCAGACTTGAAGGCCACGGAAACTACGGATCGGCAGAATGAGGAGAAATGAAGGAATGCCGTGTGTGAAAACTGCAGATGCGAGGCGCAATATGCAGAGAACCCAGATTTCTTGAAGAAGGCCCGGTCTTCCCAAGTATGTGTCGTCGCAATGATGAGTGAAGATGTAACTGACATGTGGTAGGGAATGTACGGAGCCTTTTTTTTTGCTGGGGGGTACCTGAAATGAAGGCATCATCGGTGCTTGTATAGGAACTAGCAAGGAGCAAGAGAGGCCTTCGCTACTAGGAGCAAAGGATGCTACTAGGGGCTCCTGGCCTCGCTTCAAACGGAGCAAAGGACGCTACTAGTAGCAAGGACCAAGACTTGGCACGACAAAGACCAGACCAGACGGTCCCCTGAGTCGACGACGGTCCCCTGAGTGGACGATGGATGCACAAACCGCAGTCCGATAGCCACTCTGTAGTCAGGATAGAAGAACCTCGCTATACTTGTGGACAAAGAACGGGAAGAAGTAGGTTGGAGGCTATTCTCATTAGGTTGGAGGGGCTATTTCCTTTTTTTGGTTTGAGGCCATCGCTAGTAGGCAACTACTTTTTCATTGTTATCTAGAAGTTCACGAGGAATCTCTACGCGGTCACTCTTCGGCTCTACCAGCGATGGACGACGTGTCAGGTGGGTGCCCTCGTCGAGCGCTTCGAGGTGCTGCGCCCGCGCCTTCGCTTCGCCGCGATCACCCGATGGGTCAAACCTGCGATGGGTTCGCCCAGCGCCGAGCCGCGCGAGCCGAGGTCGAAGCCGACCTGATGGAAGCTGAATCTTGTCGAGACAAGTGGTCGATTCGCAAGACATGGAGAAATGGAGAAATGATGATAACGGTTTACTACTAGCGTCCTTGTTACTACTAGTAAGGCACTTGTTACTACTAGCGATGCACTTGTTCCTAGTAGCTTCTTGCCTGCATAAAGGTTTAAGAACGGATGCCCAAACTTGTTGGAGAGCAAAGTACTCGTTTCGTTTGGTTTAGGTCTCGACAGTTCAAAACGTGTCACGTTCGACTTTGGGTGCAACGGTATGGAGAAGTATTTCAGCTGAATTTGCATGGAAGGCTTTGATTGCGCTTGAACTTTGGCCAAATTCAGGCTTCTATCGGGCCTACTTGTTCGGCATCTTCGAGCAACTGGCTGGCAACAAGGAGCCGCCAGACACATTCTTTTCTGAAGAGGATGAAGAGAGCGAGGGTCAAACCATGGGTGTTGACGACGTCCGGTAGGACGTCCATTCTGTTCATTGGATTTCATTGGTATATACTAGTATGTAACTAGTATGTACTAGTCGAGAGGGATGGCGGAGTTGTTGCTCTCGGTCTCATGGGCAAGCGTGTTCTTTGTCTGACGGATGCCAGGAGCTGGCCACAGCATTTCTGGCTCGACAGAAGGAGGCGCTGAAGTTCTGTGTGGAAGCTGGGTACGAAGAGGCGAGGAGTCGCAGAAACCGAAAGCGGATGACGAGACCCTCCGATCACTGGTCTTGTTCAAAGGCACGAACGGGGCTCCTGGCATTACTACGAACGGAGCGATCGGACGCTACGAACGGGGCTCCTCGCATCGCTACGAACGGAGCATTCTTACTACAAGTAACAAGAAGCTACTAGGGGCTCCTGGCCATACTACTAGGAGCAAGAAGCTACTAGGAACCCGGGCATCGCTACTAGGAGCCAGGACTCTACTAGGAGCATTCTTACTACTAGTAACAACAATTTCTTCAACCGGTTTGACTCGCGCAAAACGTTTCACCAGTCCATCCTCCACGACCCTCCTCTGGTGGATGGTGGTACATCACCGTGGTCAGGTGGCCATCGAGGGGTTCTACGATGAGTTCATGGAGATGGCTGCAAAGGTCTCGGAGGGTGTGTCTACTTCGACTTTGGAGGTGGGAGAAGAGATTGGTCCAGGACTTTCCGGAACATGCCATGGAGCATTTGCGTGCGATATCTATTTGACATGATGTGGTTAGAGGCAATGTGGGAAGAGAATGACAATGATCGCTACCTGGTGTGCTGGGCGCGAGTGCTCACGCCGCTCGCATGCGAGAGGGTTGTAGCTTTACTCACTACTCCTTCTAGTTTTGTGCCTAGTGAAGACTGGCAAACCAAGAACAGTCGGTATTTTCCAACCAAATGGTGGACTTAGCAGACTTGGCAAAGGCCAAAGTTCCAGCTTCAGGTCAGCCTACCTGAAGCGTCACGAGCAGGCAGGGGCGACATTTGTGACCCTACCTGAAGCTGTGCGCCTGCGCTTCGCCTCGCAGCTGCTCGCAGCTGGGACGAAATCTCGCAGGACTTTGCCTCCTTCTTGACGTCGCATTCCTCCATCCAGCAGTTCTGCGCGCAGGAGGCGTTTACCCCCCGCCCTTCCCCGCCGTCGACCGACTGTCGGAGCAGGTCGATCCGATGGACACTGAAGCAGACCACCTGCAGATCATGGCCCTGTCATCCTTCTTGGCGGTGCCAGCCGGGTTCCGGTGTCGGGTGGGTTCTGAGGCGGTTTCGACGTGGCCGTTTGAAGATGTGGCGAAAAGGACCGGTGGCCTCTTTGGGATTCGGAATCCACGACGCACACATTGAAACGGCATTTCAGTCCTGCGGCTTGTTGGGCAAGATCACTTTCTCAAGCACCTCATACCTAAGTGAATGACATCTGTTGTCACAGTTGTTCTTCCTTCTTTCCCCCAACATGAACGCGGCTCCGTTGAATTCAACTCTGACCTGTTGACCTCAATCTCATGAGACTTTTTTCAACACGAAGCCCGAATCGGCTAGAAAAGGATGTAAGCTCATAAGACACGAAACCAACAGATGGACCATGTGACATCTCACTTGAACTCACCAAAAGGATCAGAAAAAGGATTATATAAATACGGTATATATACATGCCATATATATATATACATGTATATGTTACACACACATATGTACATATATGTATATATTGTAATGATCGATGATTTATGTACTGTATGTGTCTAACATGATGGATCCGACCCGGATGACACACGATGAAACCGAGGTCACCGTCGTTTATTTGGATCGCTCTGAGGGCGCGACGGCCGAGCATCCCTTTGTCTGGAGACCGAGCAGACGAGGTTCACACCCGTCACACCCAGGTTCTTCGGAGGGGCGAAGAGCACACCGTTCTGCGCAGAACTCTGTTGTTTTTTAGAAGAACGAAGGTGTCAGCGACGCGTTATTTTTTTTGGGGGTGTTTGGGTTTCAAACAGGGTTCAAGAGGTCTACTGTAATTCATACACGTCAAAGAAACGATGACTCACAAGAGAGACTCGCACACGGTAGAGTCGTAGAGGAGTTGCCTTTCCAAACTTTGGGAGAACACAGGTGGCGCCCTGGTCGTTTGGGAATGTCAGACTCGCGCTCAACCACGGACTCCGGACGTCCTGTTTTCCACGTGCGAGGCCCACGAATCCAGTTTACCATGTACTCCCATCCACCTGCTGTATCGACCCGGGCCGGGCACCCAGCCTCCAAGAAAAGAAAGAAGCAACAGAGCAAGCTCTGCTGGTGCATGGCATGTTTGGACCTCACGACCTCACGACCTGGTGACTGGCTTAGGCACTACGACTTGATCTACACGAAGTGAACGGTTAGGCTATGAGGGTCTCGCATCCCAAGCCTACAGTGAAGCCGGGTATCCGGAGGGAGCCCTGCGTGGCAACTTTGCTGAGTTGGAGCCCTATGTGAGCATAGCACCTGCAGATCCTGCAGATTAGAAGCGCTCTTGCGATAGGGCAGCTCTGCCTCGGCAGAAAACGTGTTGATGAGCTGAGCACCCGTGTGGGGTTGTTCGTAGCAATTGATTCTCAACCCAAATGTATGAACAAAAATGCGAGATATTCTGACAGACCCACTCCACGCTGCGCTGGGGTGATGCTGCAGCAGAGGAGGCTAGGACTAGGATTTCGAAAGAATGAGTTTAGATTCTATTCCTTTGCAACAACTGGACTTCTTGGGGGTTTTAGCTTGGTGTAGTGAAGTCCAGGAGTCATTCTTTTGATCTTTACAGCCAGCTTTTGCCAGGAGCAGCGCGGTTTGCGACAGCCGATCGAGGAGCAGATCCGTCAGATGGAGTCTTGGAAGGCTCTGTGAGTTTACTGTAATCCATCCACCCTTTTTTTTGGTTAAATGTTTTTCTTTCACAAGTTATATAGGACAATTTGGAGTTTCCGTTAGGATAGCATGCCAAAGCATTTTTTTAGAGCTGGTTTTAATGACGTCGGGAGCATGTCAGGCCAAGAGGAATATGGTCATCCACTCACTCAGTGACACGGGTCTGGCGGAAGCCTCAAGAGACTCTTCCACCTTTTCAGCCGGATGCACTGGTGGGTGTTTGACCCCGCAGAAGATCGACAAGCCTCGAGACATGGTAGCTTGCTTTTCCATGGAGACTACGGGACTTTGTCGCAAGCAGAGCATCCCATGGCATCCATCCCCTCAGGTCCTGATGCTCTACTACTCTCGCGATCGAGATGAAATCTTTGTCTGACACTGAAGTCTTGTGCTGCATGCAATGATGTTCTTTTGTTCAGCTGTTCTGATGGCAAGGTCCGAATCGCAGCAGATCCTCTACACCTCCGACAGGTTCCATGGCTGGCAGTGGAATAGAATTTCAAAAACCTATTGGTAGAAGAGGTTGGCGTGCTGCTCAGTATTTGAAAGGCAGATGACCCTCACAACTGGATGGTGTATTTTGTGTCTTATAAGCCTGCTAACCGCTGCTGCGTTAGGGTGTGGCGTTTTGAACACCCAGATTGGCATGTCTCTCTCTCTCTCTATGTCTGTCTGTGTATTTTTGTACATATATACTGTATATGTATGTATATATATATGGTCCCGCACAAAGACAGAAAACCAACATTTTGTCAACATTCTAGGGGTATCATCATTTCGACACATTTCGAAACATTTGGGAATAGAGGAATGTTTTGACATATTTCGGAGTATTCCTTGAATCACAGGATTGAAGATTGAAGATTGGAGATTGCTTGCAGACGGATTCAGACAAATCGTGCAAGACATCAGCAACGCTTGGTGGATGAAAAGAGCATGGGCTCAGCTGTTGTGCTTGCTGCTTTTGCTTGCTGCTGAAACCTGTACCTGTGCAGGAAGTTCTACTTAACACTGCGGGAACCCTACTGATTTGAACTAGTTTGCAGCCACTTGTTTGCTTGTTTCCTCCAAGGTGTTTCAAGGGTCACTTTCCTCAAAAGCTTAGGCTCCTTTACGAGTACTGGCACAGACAAGAAGACCTGTGGCAGTGCACTGGGGAATCGTGAGCTTGGGAGACGAACAATTCTCCAAGGAAGCCTAAGCAACCACTTGTTTGCAAAAAAATATCTGTCAATGCCTGCTGCTGCACGTATCCTCTGTACTATCTGGTGTAGCTGTAGTCCTTGGTCATGTCAATGTGAACCACTTGTCCTCATGCTTCTGCATACTCTTCAAGTCAACTTGTCTGTGTCACGCAATGACGAAACGATGTCGACACAAAAAAAAGTCGGTTCTTTTTGGGTGCCTAGCCATATAGTACCATACATATGCAAGATGGTGTGTTCAATTGTGTCGTGTTCATGTTTTTTATCCATAGGTTTGGAGTTTGGAAAGGTTGTGGTGAAACCAAACCCAACAGTTCTTGGTTAGCTGGCAGGTGGCCGAGATGATCCGCTACCAGCTGGAACTGAAGCCGTTGGGGTTCCAAGCGGACCTGGGGCCTGTCTCCGGCCTTGGCCTTTCGGATGGCTCAAACACATTTCTAAAGGACATAGCTTTCATCTCTGAGTCATGCGTACTTCAACCGCTGAAATCGCCGGTGCACCGACTGTGAGGCAATACCTTTCAGCCTTTGCGGACTACAAGAATGACTATCCAGGCATCCATCGGCTTGCGTTGGACCTAACACCTGGTCTTCCATCGACTCCCCCACCACGTCGACCCTCGACCCTCAACCCGGGTGTTCACCGGTGCCGACCGGTCGACCGATGTACCACGACCGCGGTCGGCCCGGTCGGGGTACGACGAGTCGTGGCGGTTTTCATCGCCTGGTCCAGGTCGCCGGGACTTGAACTATAGTGATCGTTGCATTGCCTGGACTCTCAGCTTTTGACCCGATGGAAAGCGATGACCGGTCTTTTAAAATGAGTTGCTTAGTGTCTTTTGACAGTCCTTGAAAGCTCTTCGGCCTTTGGGAGATCCGGCAAGATGCCGTCCAAGGAAACGGGGGTCAGAGTCAGACTCCCCTTTTTTCTTCTTCGGGGTCTTCCCGTTGCGGTTCACGCGCCAATTGAACCCAAAACAACTACATGTTGGACTTCAAGAAGCTTCATCCGTTCTGGCTTTGGGCCTCCAAGAGGTCTCCCACCTGTACGAGACGCATTTCGAGAAGTCCAAGGAGGGTGACTACCCTCAAAAAGGCCGGAGACGGCGCTGAGACGGCGCTATGCCGGACGATGCCGGATGGCGGGGGGCCGTGGATGGCGTGGTGACGGACTTTCCAAACGTTTTTTCTCTTAATGGAGAGATTTGCCAATAAGACCGCCATGAGACACCTTGGTTTATCGAGCACAGCAATGTATACTGTATACTGTATATGTATATATATATATAGACATGTCAGATTGAGTTTTGACAAACCTGTCTGACATGGTAGTTTCCTTTTTGAGCTGTGCCAATTTGAAGACCAAAGGTCCCATCATTTCCAATTGCCGGCTGCGAATGCGGAACGTTCGCTGTGGTCAGATGCCATTTTCCGCACGGTTGATCGGCTTCGCCTGATTGACCACATTGTGCCCATGCCTGTTTGAAGAGGGAGGACAGGGTCCTGTGAGGGAGGCTCATTGGAATGCCGCTGTGGCTCACCAAACACCCCGTATGCTTCTGGGGGGCAAGCTGGGTAGTGTTCCGACTATATAATCCCTCATGCAAGTCGAGCTGGCTTAGTTTTCATCAAGTTGAGCTGGCGCGCGTCGTGACCGTAGGTGACTGTCTATCTTATATCAGTGAGGTACGAAGCTATACATGAGTATCAATACGTGACTATGTTGTATCGTTAATCTCAGAGGTACGAAGCGGAGATCATAATTGTGCTGGCGTTGATGTCGGTCAATTGCTTCACGAGTCCTTGACTCAGCAAGTAGACGCGGAACGTTTCGCGTCTACTTGGACCATCTGAACTTCTCCTTGACCGTGTTGGCAGCGTTGTTTGACATGTCTGTGACCATCCTGCCATGCTAAGTGGCGACTTGATCCACTACTTTCCACTCCATGAGCAACGCCTGCCTGGCCCACTTGGTGACTTCTTTGTTCTCCTTGCACACAGTGGTTCACGGCACAGATGATGGCCGATTGCTTCTTGATAGGTGAGCTGGAAGACATGGACAAGGATTGGTTCAAGACCTTCGTCATGGGCCGAAACATTCACAAGGCCACCACTTCCGTTTCCGCGGCCGTTTCCAGGGCGAACCGGTAGGTCTCCGATGTCTTTTCGACGGTTGCAAGATGCTCAGGAAGCATTATTATACACCTGGGTTGAGCCATACGACATGCTCGCTAGATCATGCTAGATCCGTTTCTTGCGCTCGGGATCAGATGCTTTCTGTTGGATCTGCCTTCTTGGTGCAGGTCAGAGACTACTTTGGCGAGCGAATCGCGTTGTACTTTCTCTTCATGCCAGAAACTCAAGGAGTGACATGAAAGAGGCTGAAAAGGATACAAGGAGTTGATGGCCAGGAGACTGGGGCCCCTTTAGCTGCAAACAGTTGATTCCTTCTTCTTTGGACTCCCAACCGAATTTGGAGTGCGGGTTTGGACATGATCGCGTGGTTTTGAGCGAGGTCCCACTTCATCAAGTGGATGATCATCCCAACAATATTTGGGACTTTCTTGTGTGTGGCACTCTTAGCAATCAAGTCAACAACATGTGCGCACGTTTTGAGAAACACATAGGTGTGACCGTTTTCCTGCGTGTGTGGCATGTTATGGCTGCTCTCTTTGGATTTCAAGAATTCAACCGAGTATCTTATATATTAAAGTTATTTCTCCTGCATGCATCTGACAGTGCATACATGTAGATGGACATGACAACATGCCTCAGACCACGGTCCTAAAATGTTTCATACGCGCTGCAGCCAGGTGGTGGACCTTTTCTACCAAACGCCCAACAACGTGACGGTGGTCTTCATTTGCATAGGCCGCGAACGGCCAACGGACGGCGAACGGAAGACTTGGCTTCGTCAAAAAGCTGAGGTGTGGGAATGTTCTCGACCACCTTCATCCATTTCTGGCGAAGGAAGACCAATCTCTATGCTTTGAAGCTGCTGGCTGAGATGAGTATAGATGAATCAAGTTCGAAGGGTGCAACATATTGGAGAAAGGTATTGAACTCCTGCGCACAAGGTGGGGCACTTTCTCCATGAAGAAGAAGGCTGAAACTACTCGACCCGAGTTCTACGGAGCAGAGAGCTTAGCAAGCAGGCAGTGGCTGGAATCAATGCAGAGGAACCATTCGCATCATTCGTTTGGTAACCTTTGTTGATTTGTCCAGAAGGCTGTGCACCGCGTACCGGGGGTAAGTCGTGGTGGGAATCCCCCGGCTGCACAGCACGTGGCTCTGACTCCACGACCGAGGTGAGTCGCGTCAATCCTGTGACCAGCAGGGTGGACCGGTGCAGACCTCAGTACTTGGGACACTATGCTCGGTGGAGGCCAGCGCTATTAGGTTGGAGGCCATTGCTACCAAGAAGCTACTAGTATGGCTTCAGCGAGAAGCAGAGCACTTTTTCATGTGGCGGCGTTGTTCGGTGCGGAAGTCTCCGTGAAAGTCTCGTGTGGTCGGCGAAAGTCTCGTCCAGCACATGGACGATTCAGCCCGGCCAGCCGAGCCAGCTTGGGGGGGTCTCTAGTTCTTTTGCACACCCGACCTTCACGTGGTTCACGATTCATGGGAACCTCCAAGCATCTCCAAACCAACCACCTCCGACCCCAGTTGTGTCCTGACCGTTTGGGGAGCCTGAGGTATTATCCTTGGAGCGAGCGAATCTGGAAGGTGCTTTTCAGCTACTCAGTCATTCTTGTTTCTTGGTTTGCAAAAACGATATGGTATTTGGATCCAAGAGCGAGAATTGCCAGTAACAAAGTTGAGGTCGTCGAGAGTTAGGAGACACATCAAGGTGTTTGCTGTGGGACACAAACATTCAAAATGTGCTTCAGTCAAGGCCACAGACTTCGCAGCTGCCCAGGTTTCACTGATTTCGCTCTTCTTTGCGGTGGGCATCTTGATGGTTCTTCGCCACACCTTTCACAAGCACGGCGGCCGGATCACTTTCCAGGCCCGGAGAGGTCGAACCGTGCTTTCGACGCGTTCGTTGCGTCAGCCTGTGGCCGGCTGTTGTCGGATGCCAAGGTGATCAATGCTCTGGTGGTCGAGCTCTTGAACACTCTCTTCACCAGCCTCGCCACCTGGCTCACGGAGCTCCGATGCTTTTGGCCGTGCGTCGTCGCGATGCGCACGGGAAAGAAGCGTTCACACCGCGATGCGAGAAGCGGCGAAGTCGGAGGAGGACGCCTCCTTCGTTTGAAACCCTGGCAGGACCGAGAGAACCATCGGTCCTACTCCGAGCATGCAAATCATCTTTTGGTCTTGGCCCCAAAAGACGCAAGTTCGGCCACGGGCGGTGGTCATGGGTGAAACATACTGGTGACCTGGTCAGGTGCTTGCGCAAACCTGCATGTTGAATCAACGAGGCCAAAATGGTGGTCTTCAAGTTCATCAACTGCTACGTGTCCTTGTACTATATTGCCTTCTTGAAGGCCGAATGTGCAACCAGCTTCGCCAACCTTTTTTTCATTACAGTATATATCTCGTTCGTTTAAGCAGTCTCCGTCTCCTTGATCCCCAACCGTTTCACACGACAGGAACACTCATACCTGTTCGGAATGCCCATGACTTGTGTGAACGATGACTGCCGGCAGCTTAGCTCTGAGATGCTCCGAGCCGGCTCATGACATGAGATGAACACCTTCCAACATGAGACGTCAAGGTGTGTCCACATTCTGATTGACTCAGCTGAGTTCGAGGTTTAAACGACCTGGGCTCTCAGCTGGCGATTTTCATGATCATGAGGCGTGGAATCTGTGAATCTGCGGCCTTTGCACAACTCGGCCCCTGCCGAAATGCCGCAGCTGCCGCCTGTTCCGCGCGGGGGGCGAGTCCGAGTCCTCGCAGGCTGACGTTGCAGAACATGATTGAACTTGGTGGACCGTTCGGAGCTCAACGACAATTGCTCAGAGCAGTTTGTTCCCAACACCGAAAAGCTTTGATCCGCCCAAAACGCGAAAAAAAGAAGAACACCCACCGTTTGGCCGAGGTATGCTGTGATGATGTACCGGCGCATGACGGAAGGCAGGGCACGATCCCACTCGGTCCCACTCGGTCCCTGCGTCCCACTGGGTGCGGCACCAACGTCACTTCGTGATGACTGGGGACCATGTCGGACCGTCCGCCCCCTGCCCTGTATCCGAACTTGGCCAGAATCTGCCTTCAACTTTGACGCCACACTCTTCACGTCGGGCTGGCTCCTTTAGTTGTGCGGACATCGTGTTGGAACTCAATTTCACATGTTCATTCCCTTTGGCGAACTCAAGATTCCGATCGACCGGTTCTGGGTGGTTGGGAGCCTTACCGCACTTGGTTCCTGCTTGCCAGGAACCCCATGACCATCATGTCGAGGGCCAAGATCAGCCACTTTTGCCTGGATGACTGACCCCTTGCAAAGAATTCAGCATGAGGCCTGACCTCTCCAGCCCCGAGAAGCAAAGCAAGAAAGAGGCGTGGGGCTGTTGGAGCTGTCTTTCTGGCGGTCTTGCTCAAAGGATTTTGCATGGATGTGTCGTTTTTCTCGATCTTTTACTTTTCAACAAGCTACACAATTTTGCCATCATGTCCAGGACTATGACGTGTACCAGGACATGGATGAGGTCAGCATGTCATAGAGATCCACTTTTCGTCACTGGTGCGGGATCAACCCCTCTTCAGGTATTGATCCTCTACGGCTATACAGTGCTCTTCGTTGTGGCATGCCCTTGGGTCCGCCTGCCAAACCTTGCGATCTCGACGTCGTAATCAACCCATGTCGGTTGTGATGAAAGACATTAGATTGTCTAGTTGTGGTGCATGGGTGTATGGCAGATCCCACTGATTGCACTCATCAGCTTGGTCCTGGAGTTCGCGTCCCAGAGTTTGTGCGCGGTTTGCTGTGTAATGACCTTCTTGATGTTTCTTAATCCTCCTTGGAGACTCTGATCTGTGCACATCTACGCTGATCTATGCCACCTGAGGTGCTTCCTGGATCAGAAGAAGCTTGTATTGTTGTATCGCAGGCTTGTGTCAGTCATGGCTTTTGATTCTGTTCGTTGTGCTGTCCCTTACCTTATGCCATCTCAGAGGTTCTTGCAGTCAAGCTTGCGTTGATTGGAGGGCAGACATGATGGCTTGCCACCCTTTAAGTGGGGTTGCTTGCGGTGAATGGCAGAAATGGATGACATCAACAACTGGATAACCTCTCGAACGATCAGAAACTCCCTTCTTGCCTTGCATGCTGGCTGAGTCAAAGAAAGTTATGTTGTATACCCAACCAATGGGTTTGATCCATGTCTTGTCTACATGACCTCTTGTGCACTGCACAATGTCACAAGGCCCTTTCCGGACCCTGCAGCCAACAACGAGCCCTGGGACACGGCGTTTGATGTCTTCGGCATGTGTGGGCCTGAGAGCAAAGGGTTCACGGTGGTTCACAGGTTTCGGCTTGGAGACTGATGAGCTCTGATATGCTCTGCCGTGAGGCTTGCAATGGCCACCAACACGGCCGTCGTGGTCTTTGCTTCGAACGTCTTTCAGAGCTGGAGCTGAGACAACACGGCTCATGAAGAAAGTGCTTCTGTCTCAAGTTGCACTAGACAGCATGCTCTGAAAGCCTGCCACCAGGAGTCATTTCCACAAGATCCTACTTTTCATGGTCGTGGAGCATGCAATGATTGGCTTTAGGCCAGTGTCGCAAGCGCATTGTGTTGGATGCTGGCTACTTTTCGGCATTCTTCAGAATGGCTGGATATGGAATGATATGAATTGCTTGATTTCAGGATACTCATCTCCACGCTCTTCCCGGCTATTCCTTGGGAGGTGGGCCTGAGCACAAGCGGCACGCCTCACCTGACCGGATGATTCGTGACGTGTCCCGGTGCACAGGTGCGATTGCTGGCAATGCAGCAACAGGTGGTCGTGCACAGGCGTGGACCGTCACAGCAGGAACACCACGTGTCGCGCACGGCACGTGCCGCGAGCGGTTTCGCGGCCGCGCGACACGTGTCGCGTCCGCGTGTGCACATGAAGTTGAGCCGGGGTCCCGAGGCACTTGAATCTCGGTGGTGAAGAAGATGACCATGAGACTCGCGCCAGTGTTGGGTGCTGAGTTCGTTTTTGTTGCGTGAATCCACACACACTGGCCGCGGGAGAGGGTCTCTCACAGACTCGGTGACTCGGCTCGACCGTTTAGGCCATGATGGCCACAGCGCAGCCGCCTCCCATTGTGCACGATCAAGACGATGAGGAGGACTGCTATATGCCCTTTTTTTTGCCTCCTTTTGACATCAACTCTTTTGGGTGCATGATGAATCAATTCAATCGCAGAGCACCAGCTATGCCAGCTATTCCACTAATCTTGGCCAGTATTGGTAGCGGCTTCCTTTTTGCCACGAGCTTTTGGCTCAGTCTGCTGCTACACTTCATTGACTTGAAACTTGCTTTGGCAGCACCAAGGCCAAAGCTGCGTCCACTGCGAAATGGGCTGACGCACTTCGGCCAGTCTCACCTGCCGTGGACAATGTCCGTGGGCCTCAATGATACAGGTCAGCTTACTTGAAGACACCGTGTCAAGGTATGCATGTATCGTATGGCTGACATGAGCCATCAATTCGAGCGCGAAGACGGAGCTGTCGCCGAGTCGGAGAAACTTTGTTGAAGACTCGAACACACTTACCTGAAAAGTTGCTAGATGTCTCTGTGGATTCCAAAAGCGTTTGCAAAACAGCATCCGAAAGCTCCTTGACAGCACCTAGGGCGGCTGTACCTATTTTTGGAAGAGGGAAAGATTGCATGCACTTGTGCTTGCATCCAGAGGTGGAACCTGTAGCACTGTAGTCAAATGAATCACTCAAAGTTCTTCGGTCACTCAGAGTTTCTAGATGCTTCTAGTGGGCAAGTTCCAGCATTGCAGGCACTTGCATCTCATGTTTCACTGTTCAACGTTGGTTTCCAAAGGGGGATCACGCAGTGACCTGAAAAAAGTCTGCTCTTCCGGAGAAGTGGGCGTTTGTGAAAGCAATCAGGAGGCTGAGCTTGATTGACGGCCATTATGTCAGATCTATTAAGCAATTCCGGAAACACTGGCCAAGCTCATAGATGTCACTCTTCGCGCCAAAGCCGCTTGTGTTCCAGATTTGGTCTTACATCTGCATTGAGGAAGCTTCATGCAAGGGTACCCGCTTGGTATTAGTTCCTACAGTCTTGCAGTGAACTTTCTTGTCAAGTAAAAGATGTGCAGATGTGCTGAAGATTGCTGAAGTGTGGCCAAGTGTGGCGATCCGTTTTCATCCTGTTTCAGCACGGATAAACATAATATAGAAACGTGACGAGATCCTTTTTGTTTTGAAGGAATACCACTTTGAGTCCACCTGTCATGGCGAATGATGTGGGTCTCGTGGTGGCAGCTGCCCCATATGGAGGAGAGTTTTGCTGGATGATGGTTCCGTGCGACGAGGGTGGCCTCCGACCTACTTGCGATGGCCTCCACCGAGCATAGCGTCCTTGTTACTAGCTTTTCTTCAAAGGACTTGGCACCGGACGCCGCAGAAGAGGAGCCTTCTCCGAGGTGGACCGGGTCCAAGCACCTCGGGAGCATCGTGCTCCCTGAGAATCGGAACTGGGTCGGTATTGAGCCATAAGGGCGCCTGAAGGTTTGCTCAAGGGCCTGTCGATGTGGCAAAGACAATCATTTTTGAGTAGGCCGTGCTGCTTCCATCATCTTCCTCTTCACAGTCTGCCTCCCAGCTCTCATACAGTAGCCTCAGCCAAAGGCAGACATAGGAGCCCCCGTTCGTAGTTTCGTGCTCCTAGTAGTAAGGCCAGGAGCCCCTAGTAGCGTCCTGGCTCCTAGTAGCTAGTAGCGATGCCCTTGCTCCTAGGTCAGGTCAGTTTTCAGGTCGATGACGAGTTCTGAGGCTCCATGGTCGCGAAGCAGTTGGCGAGGCCGTTCTTTCAGAAACTCCATCATCAAGGCCAGCCGTGAAGCTGCCCAAGTGACAGGCATGCCGAGATGGCGCCAGCAACGCCACAGAGTTTCACCCTGCAAGTGAAGCAGATAGCCAAGAACTTCCGAAGATCGGAACGCAGCTGTTTGCACCAGAGCAACCTGGCAGCAAGATTAGGACGCATTGGCCTCTCCCAATTTGGGTCACTCAGTACAGGGTTCCTTTTCAGGTCCACGTGTTGCAATTGCTGGATCGCCTGGAGTATGCTGTTGGCCTACCTCCAGGCGAGTTGATGTGTCCGATTGATTCCAGATCCACTTGGACTTCTCTTCCATGGAGTCTCCCCCTAGGCGGAGAACTGGCCACAAGACATGCGACGAGGCGATTCAGATCGTTCTGCAGATTCGGAAATGGGGCAGCAAGCTGGCGTTTCCGTTTCACCGATTGAGGCCACTGCAGCAAGAACATGCCTCAATCAGAGGAGGCACTGCGGCTTGACTCTTGCTTCGCTACTCTACACTTTCAGCTTTTAGGCACTGTAAAATTGATTACTCAGCTGGGCAGGACCAGACATCAGCTGGTCCTCCAAAGGAACAGGCTGGCGATCATATAAGTCATGTTAAGCTTCAGTCTGCCTGCAGCCAAATTGGAAGGTTGCCCTGATGCTTCTGTTTGGAGCAGGGAACGTTCGAGCCACAGCTTCTAAGAAACACATAGGCATACTTGCAAGTCGGTTTACTCTGTCAGAAGCGCACCGTGGGTGTCTCAAAAGATCGGGAGAACTCAACTGGCGCCAGTTCAGTGTGGAGTCATCCGGGTTCAGTGAGGCCTGGAGCAGTGTCTTGGGCTTTTGCGAGCACCTGGAGGTGGGAAGAGAGATCCCTTCACCGCACCGGGTGTTTCCACCTCTGTCCCGGGGCCCGTGCCATGCGGCAGGTGGCGGCAGCCGTGCCATGCTGCAGTGAAACTGCTGCAGGACCCCAGTCTCGCCGGTGTCCGGCGCCGGAGGTTTCGAGATCAACAAGCACGGTGCCTGTGCCTGTGCCAACCAAGTGGCACTTCGTGCTTCCGGCACTGCCAGGATCACGGGATGGACGTGGCCGGCTTCTCACCGGCTCAGCTTCCTTGCCGGGATCCATTGCCTTGAGACACCTTGACAGGAACACCGCGGAACGGTCGAGCCCCGAACGGTCGCGACCGGTCTTCAGACCGGTCCTCGGAAGCCATTCGACCGAACGGGGTGGTACTGCTCCTCTCATCGGCAGGACGAATCTGTTTGCTTTTCCTTCATTTTGAAGAGCCTCTGGGCAGGATCTCACCACATCTCCTAGTGAGGCTTGCTATCCCAAGTGAGATGCTCAGACTTGTTGCCTTCGGATCCTTCATGATGGCATCAGCAAGCATCAGCAACCAGAACAGCTTTGGACAGGTTTGGCTTCTGGATCTGAAGGTGAAGCAGTTCTCAGAATGCTGGCTGCAATGAGGGATCAGCTCACAGCCTTAAAGGCCAGAAACGAGTTGGGAATGACAGGGATGGAACGACGAGATTGGTGGGGTCTTTGAGATAGTTCCCAGGTTTCAACTCGGTGGCCCGTTTGGCACTGACGGTTGCCCTAGCACTATCCCGTTTGGCACTTGCCAAAGCAGCACACCTGGGCAGGAAGTTTGTGTGCACATTGCTCCACCCCGGCTGCCACGGGTCGGATGGCCCCAGTGACGCAGCCACTTCCGGAGTCGAGTGCGTGGAAGTTTTCGGCGTTGCCAGCACGAGGTCACCGGGGAAACCCGTGCCACCCGCAGTGAAGCCGTCTCAGGCCAGGGAGTCGAAACTTGGGCGGGAACGTGACCAGAGACATGCGGTTTCTGAAAAGGGCAAGAGACATGCGCTATTTCTGAACACTGAGTTCTGGCTGGTGCACTGTCTGCCGCCTTGCCGTCCCAACCTTGGCATCCGTTCGATTGGCTTCCCGCCTATAGTCACCATCTCTCCAGGTGGTGGCTGGACTCATTTCAAGCGAATCTGCGGGGAGGGTGGCGCACTCAGCCCTTTTTCTTCGACTCTCGGAGCCCAGGCTGTCATTGTTTGATATCATTTTGCATCGTTTGGTTCCAGGTGTTTGTTGGCTGGAGATAGTGTGCTGGCAGATTTGGTGGGTGCGATACCCAAACACCTCACCCGCCTTGGCTTGGCCCGGAGCCTCAGGGGCCGTGGCCCGGAGGCCTCGGACCCGCGGCACGTGGTCGGTGCGAAGTTCGGCAGGATCTGAACCACTTCAGCTCGACCGATGCACAAGCAGTGGCAAGATGTTTACCATCAAGGCAGAGGTTTTCCTTGGTCCACTTCCGAAGAAGACAACTATGTCGGGCGCTTCTTTTCCGATCCTTTTGAGCTGACTTCGTAAGCCTTCAGTCTGCGGGAGCTTCGCCTCCTTTTCCACGGCCGCTCCTTTGTTCTTGGCTCAGCATGTCAATCACTAGTGGTGCCCTGTTTTTTTCACGGTACGGAACTAGGTGGCTTCGACAACTCTGAATCTCCAAGCAGCATGACACCATTGTCGCCATGACACGTTTGGGAAAACACCCGAAATGTCATGACACGATGAGACGAGACGTTGGATTGAGGCATGGCTGGGTTCTGGTGTGGAAAGCAATGGCACGGAGGAGTGCCCGCTCGGCTCGAAAAGACGGGCTCTTTCTTCGGTCGAATCCGTCGAGTCCAAGCCAACACATCGGGCCAAAGGACTGGCATCACAGTCTTTTTTCTGGGGCCACAGGGTGTTTGGTCCTCGCCCGGCCGCTGTGGGTGTGAGGAGCTTGCATCCGCACTTCCAGCAAGTTTCCAGCTGAGAAAATGGGGCAATATCAGATCTTTCGAAGTGTCGTTTTCATGTCACATAAGGCCTGGAAAAACTGCATTTGATGCTAGAGTAGCCTCCTCAGTTTATGAAAAGACTTTGTTGGCAGTAAGATCAGAATCGTGCCATCCAAGGTCATCAGCTGCTGGGGCTTCCCTGCTATGCCAGGCATTTCTCCAGCCGTACATTTTGGCCCAAGCATGGCAGCGAAACGCGGTTTACATCCCTCGGCTCGGCAACCCCCCCAAAAACAGAGCATGTTTGGAGTTTGGAGGCTTTGCCTCCCAACTTGGTTCACTTAGCTCTGGACTTGCAGATGACACTGGCCACAGCCTCAGCTTATTCCGGCTTTGGCGCTTGGCCGAACGAACCAACCTCTTGAGGCGCGCAGGGAGACGGAGGTTCTGCGGCTGTCAGAGGCCCTGGCAGCAGCCCTTCCCCGGCAACTCATGGTGCTCCAGCTTCGGCTCACTGACTTTAACCTGAGCTTGGAGGAATTGAGGACGAAAGCCGTGGGGGAAGGGACAAAGTCGTGAAGCTCAAGGGTTTTTAACAAATGCGAATTGGCCAGAAGCTGCAGGATCTTGTCAAAAGCTTTGCCAGAGTCTTTGACAGACCTTCGTGAGCAGCTTAGAGTGGCAGATATTGCCTCCTGCATGGCAGACTGATGACTGATGCTCGCAAATGGATGCCTGCATGGCCCATGTCTCCGGCAGTTGCTGAGGCTTGGACATTTGCTGCCGTGATGTTGGTGACGATGGTGCCAGTGCGCTAGCGTCCAGTCTTCCACAAGGCGAAGAAAGACCAAGCAAAGAGATCTTTCTTCATTGAAACCGATGGAAGACAGAGCGACCCCATAAGATAGAACAGTCACGTCGATTGGACGATCCCTCGATCCAAACCGGGGGCGCAGGGCACTTTTTTTCGATCACGCACTTTGGGCCCCCGACTTTGCCACTCACCATCCTCCGACTTTGTCAGGACTCGAGTGCCTGATGCTCTGTCTTCGAGACTGGCGCTTCTCAGTCCCTTCGCTCAGAGGTTTTGACCGCTCGATCTCCATTCTGAGAGATCCGCCGTGAACCTCTCACGTCGAGGCGGTCGGTGCGCGGGTGTTGGCCAGTGCCATTCCGGAGAATCTCCGGCCAGATCCTGAAGCGGGACCAGTCAGTGGTTTTTCGGTCATGAGAGTCATGAGTCATGAGGAAAACGAATGCGTTATGAGGGACCGTGAAAGGCAGGACCAGGTCTGCAGGTCTGGTGGGTCCGAAACACGCGCCGACCGTGCCCGCGTTTCTAGGCGCCTCAAGCTGGCCTTTTCGAGCAGCCCGATCGGTGCAAGCGGCGTACGGGAACTCTGCAAGACTTGCATCGGGGCACTCAGCAGCAT